GTCTGTGCCATTCTCTGGGATCGCCAAAAAAGATTTCCTATTAGAGATGTAAACACTACACATCTTGTCTTTTCACCTCCCGCGAGGCCTGTATTGTTGCCGTCGTAAGTGACCGAATAGAAACTTGCAGTACATATATTACCGCGTAACGAGTGAGCAGGAATCTTCGGAGTTGCCGCTAGACTTGTCCGTGAGTTTGTTTCTCCTTCATTCGCGTTCAAGTGACCTTGCGATATGCCCTGCACAGGAGAACCTTCGACGCTAGTGCATGCGCCTAATGCCCTAACTGATTGTATCTGAATTTTCAAGAAACCGCGGGGTGGAATCGAGCGTGTAGTGACCGCAAGTGCGTTTCAGTGGGAGTTTAATGACATATGTTTTTCGTGGCCCAATACTATAATCATAATGCAAACTATTTGGAAATTCTGGCGGACGGATGGACGATTCCACCCCAATTATGCTGCATACCGCAGGAGAAAGATGGTGTTGCAAAGAACTTACTAGTATGACAATGAGGCTCTGTGGGTACATATAGTTATGTGCCAGAAAAGTATGATAGATGGCGTAATGCATCGTAGGATGAACAAGTTGGAAAGAATTTGAGTTTGAGTACATCCCAGTGTGGGGGAAGACGCATCAGCGAATCGCTTAGCTCGACGGTCATACCCCGAAAACGTAGCCAACTAAGGATTCGCGCAAAGAAACCTAAACATTTAAGCAGAAAATCTGCTGTAGGAATGCCACCACCTTGATCATGCACATATGCTCGTTATAGCTCACGTTCCAGCCTGGTGCAACCCGTGTATGCAAGGTTAGGCAGAGATAACACTTCGAGTTGTATTGATAAACTATATGCACGGTTCATTCAGATGCGCCATCTCTCACTTAGACAACAGGAGGAAGGGCCAAATTTGAAGGAATCCTGCCTGCAACACCACCTGCAACGTTCTTGGCCGGTACGTTGGCCTGAGCCTGTCCAGCGGCCTGTTTGTAGGCCTGCACATCCCCATCCGCCTTACTACTCAATTGTTAGCTCAGATCACAGAGTGTAAGGAGGTTGAGGCTCCCTTACGGGTTGATGATCATGACCATTCCCAACTGGCAATGCATTCCCGTCGCGCAGTACATGAGCATAGGCTCGGTATTCTCGACTTGCACATTAAACGTGCCGACGGGAGATCCATCAGTGACACCAGGAATGAATCCTGAGTGAACGGCATTCGGATTCTGGTCTTGGAGAGGCATGCAGGGCGCCTGGGTGCCGGCGGCCTGAGTGACGGTGTGGTTGTTGGGCCAGAATTGAAACTGGACGATGTCGCCGGGATTGGCCCTGACGACATCGGGGTAGAATAGGACTGATTTCTCACGGGTCGGGCTGCCAACTAGAACAGGGATGACCTTAGGTGTCGGAGGCGCTTGGGCTGGGGCCGGGGAAGAGGTTTGACGTTCTATATGAGTGTGAGCAAAGGTATAGCATATTTTCCACCACACTCAATGTAATACATACCATTGATGGTTGCGGCTAAAGAGCCTCCGATCATTGCAGAAAGGCAAACGACAATAGAGCTAAACTTCATCTTGAAAGCTTGATAATATCTTTATACTTATGTAGTAAATAAGACGCTGGATGGATATTGGAGAGACACTGCTAAAAAGAACAATACTGATGGGAAACGAGGAGGGTGCTGCAATATTTAAGCAAATATCATCAACCTGCAGTATCTTAGAATGGTAATGCACTGCGGACAAAGATTACGCAAGTATACCCGGCCCCTAGAATAAACCTTTTCCCATGAATTTCCGCACTGGGCAAGCCTTTCCCGATCATGAGACCGAAGCAGCTTGGCAAACTGACATAGGCTCGGCGAGTTGCCACTATGTGCAAGAGCTGTGAAGCTTAGACATCTTCAGAGATGAGATGGCCGCACTGCCCAATTAGAGCCATCAGGTATCTCAAACGTGACATGTTTCGTTTCTTCGGCCCCATGGCACACCGAAGTATGCTTACAAATGAGCCCAAGAGGTGAAGGAGAAACATTAGGCATTGTCAGAGTTAAGGATTAGGTGGAATACTTACTCTTTCGAGTGGGCCGAATAAGGACGACACGGCGGGTCGGTCAAAAGTCTATCTCATTGCGCCGGGTCCGCGCGCTGGAGCGACAAGTAAACCAAGAGAGAGCCGTCAGAAATGCTGCGCGTACCGGGTCGACTCGGTGACCGGCTAAACGAACTCGGATACTACCAAGGCAGTGGGTGAAACGCCGTTTCAACCAGTGAGAAGAGGCGAGGGCCACCGCCTGGTACTCTTGATATTCTGCTTGCGGGGGTTCTCCCAGCGGTGAGAACCAGGGTCGACGGGAGATCTGCATGACCGCCATTGATTGCGCATATCAATGTGTTGACGTATCTTGACTGGCGAATGCCATTTCTAGAGTGCGAGACGTTTCGGATACGGTCCACATTCGTGTTTTTGGACTAACAGAGGGAGTGTTCGACGTCAAGGTCGTGCCAGAAACCAGACGGTTCAATGGCCCTATTGGATAATATGTATCCTCTCAACAATTACTATTACGGAATACTTTCTCAGACTAGGTATGATTCAGTGAAAACGGTGATGGGGAGTTTTGATTCCGTCGTCCTAAGAGCTGGCGTCCTGTCTCTAAGCCACTGGGAGCTTTCTTTATGACTGCATCTCCCTATTTGGTTTGATCTTCTTAAAAATCTTCCACTCGAAAGTGAGATCTCGATTTACGAACTGCGCGAATCAAAAACACGTACTGGGTAGCTGTGTCATAAGCTCTCATATATTTCTAACAGATTCGATAGATCCTCTGCATTGAGCGCAGAGTCTCGGATATCCCCACAGAAAGGATCCGCTGGATCTATCTTGATAGATAAGTCGCAACTGAAAACAATCTGAGCCACAGTCAAGAAGACAGTGTGTCCGAGACCTTGCTAGAGGTCCAAAAGAGAGGTCGCGAGGCCTGCATTACGTCCCCTTGCAGCTGGTCTGGCCAGCTACCAGAGTCTGTTGTCCACTCAAGCCAACACCCCTTTTTGCCCGAAGCTTAAGCTGGTACGTTTCTTGAAAGAGCTTGTAGACCAAATCCGTGTCGATTAGGCAGTGACTTATGACGTGGTGAGTTGAGAAACATAGTACCCAGTCTGAATTACCCGAGAGCAGTCCAGCTAAATAGACAGGATTCTAAGAGTTGTGTTTGCACACTCATCGCAATCTGAATGTATTACTGCGTTTGCATAGGATACTAAAGAGGCTAGCGAATCGAAGTTACGGTGGTAAGCGCGCTGATTATTGATGCTTTGTAGCCGAATGGGTATGCAATTTAGTCAAGTTAGATGAAGAATGTTTACGCACCACCCAGGCTGACAAGCCATCCATTTCTGACAGAGAATTTGGAACGGGATTGCCGCCTTGTCGTTTTGTCGAAGTCAGACAGGTCGACACAGAACCAAGCAAATCGCAAAGACAAACATACAGAATGACATCCCAGTCGTATTACATTGAAGAGAATCAATCCCCAAGGGTGGAAGGAAACATCCTTTTCGTTTGAATCCAGGCCTATGGGGAGGCTTCAGGAAGGAAAGTATGCCAAGGATGAACCAAAATTTGATTCCATCATTAGCACAGCTATCGTCAGAATCGAGAGGCTCTAGTTGCGCGATACTCTGCTGAGCATTTCTTATACGGTTCACACCTAAATAAAGGCGAACCACAGTGATGTAAACAGAACGACTCGCGGGTCGGATGCACAAAACGGCAAGACATACCCCAAGGGTAATCATGTCAAGGGTAATGCAAAGTACTTGTGGGATAGACCTCAGTTGGTATCTTGTTATCATGTCTTTGGCGGTATCTTGTGACTGTCTGATCGATTTCTGCAGAATTCCTCAACAACAACGTTTTCGGTATCCTGCTCGGGGTGGCTATTCTGTTGACATCATCGGCTTGTTATGGATCAATTATCTTAACCAGCGGCAATAGGGCATATTTAACACGTGGTTTACCCACAACTATCCTGGAAGAATTATGAGATGACGGTCAAGCGCAGTTCATTGCTTCATGGCTAGATTGCAAGAGAAGGCCCTCTAGCATGATCCATACCAGAAACTCTATTTTGCCACAATTTCAAGTGGGGGTCTCCGTCGGTCTTCTATGTTAGAACAAAGCTCCGCCATCTGAACCTTTGACCTTAATTCCTTCATAACGTCGGAGCTTGTGAAGCATATTTTGCAAAGAATAACTAGTGTCAAGTGCGTCACTGACAGCTTCATCTACACGGCTAGAAGAAGCTCAGACATCTTTGGTATGACCAACCAGCTTGTCGGCGACGAATACGAACTGACAGACTTCAAAAAGTTATGGTGTTGAACGTCATTGATTGTCAGCTGATGCCGTTGATCCAAGCTCCTTACCAGTGCTAAAAACCGGACGCTAAATTTGGAGTGGCACTAACACTTCCCTTAACTACCTGTCGTGATATAAGCCGTAATTAGGCAGTGGCAATTATAGATCCGCTTTTGTCATTACAGTTATAAGCCCGCTCTACTTACTCTAGACCTCTGTGTGCTTTAACGGCTTGCGCATGTGCTATAATAGAGACCCCTGCAATCCTGAGAGCCTAGGTTTAAGCACTGTTCGGGGCAGTTAAAAAGACCACCTATACTTTGGCGAGATGTACTTAATTAGGAGGTTATAAAGAGTGTTCTATGTTACTAGCCTTCTGATAAATAGCGTTGTAAACCTGGGTGTGTGTGTTGTGATATAAGCCGTAATTGCACAGTGGCAATTGCAGATCTGCTTTTGTCATCACACTACCTCTCCACTAAGCCCCGTAAAGCATAATCGTTATTCAAAGCCCTATCCATAGCAATATATCACGTATCTTTTGTGTTTTCTATGTCTTAATTGCATGTTCTCTTCTCAAGCTTTTGAGTGTATTGAGGCTGGGTGATATGAGTGAGTCTGGATTTAGCGTGGTTTCTGTGACTGCCCTTACTAAAAGCGGTTAGATACGGTAAATACCAAGGCTATTCTTCCTTGGAGGATCGGTCTCGGGAGTTTGATAACGTCCGTTTCCGTGCCTCCTACCTAGCTACAGCCAATCATATTGTACCACTAGCCTGGCCATGTGTTTCCGGAACTTAAGAATGTTGCGGTTCTCCGGACCTTTCCATTCCGCTCCTGACCTGAAATTGATGCATCGTCTGCCATCCGGTTTAGGCCAAATATCGTTCGCCCTTGCTATGACAGAGCCCATTCGGTTTACCAAGAGTCAGGTATTGAATCAAGCTCGGACTGAGTACCTTGTATCTTGCCCCCGTCTTCATCATTCGACATGTCCGAAAGCGAAAGCCCCGACTTTGCGAACGCCAAGAAATTCCGAGCTTGCACCAGTTGTGCTCGCCAGAAAATTAGGTGTAGATGGCCACCGGAATCGGGAAATAGCGAACAAGCCGATTGCTTGAGGTAATATCCAATCAAGAACTATATTCTATTTCCAGTACTACCTGTAACGGGCTGACAGCATGGCCAGATGCTCTCGGATGAGCATATCGTGCCGTGTACCAGACCCCGTCCCGAGGAAGAAACGCGGCAAGTCTAGGCAAGTCGACACAACCAACCATAGCTCCATACGCGTCATATCTGTGAAATAGATCTGACTGTCTTGCCTGAGATTGATGCTTTACCAGTTATGGACGTGCAACTGACTGGGAGAGCAGTCGTGTCATGGAACTGGAAAAGAAAATAGATGGCCTAGTCAACCTCTTCCAATCTCAGCAGCAGGCCCAGGAAGTTCAGCGCTTGAACTCAAGTACGAAAGGCCCAGAAGGTGAGATCCAGCACTTGTCTCCAAAAAATACAGCGACACTGCATGGTCTCCACCAACCCCCAACCTGTCGTGCTGCATCAAGCGGTATTCCCTCCAGCACCCCAGAATCCCATGCATTTTCACTGCCAGATACAAGATATTCAGACGCTACATTTCATCTGGTTCCTGGCTTTAGTATCTCCGCTACAAAAGCAGAAGAATACTTGGACATCTATCGAACACGATTGGTTCCCAATTTCCCCTTCGTACCTGTCCGACATGACATGACAGCCATGGAGCTTCACGATACGAAGCGGTTTCTGTTTTGGTGCATAATGCAGGCCGTTGCGTCCCAGACAGCGGCTGTCCAAAAGACAGTTGATGATTGGGTCCGCCGACATGCCGCCATGCACGTCGTTGTCTTAGGGGAACAGTCGATCGAACTAATCCAGGGCCTTCTGGTATACGTTGCCTGGTAAGTTCATCTCATGCTTTGGCGAGTTGGGATCAATCCATGTCCGCATCGTTATGGAAATAACCCTTATTTGTCGCAAAACGGTCTAACAGTGACTCGATTCAGGGGTGACCTTCATTTTCAGATGGGTATCAATGCCTACTCACTGCTACAGATGGCAATTGGCATGGTGATGGAGATGACACTATTCTCCTTTGGAGGCTATATGAGCTGGATGCCAAAATCTTTACAAACCGAAGCGTGGGCTCTCTTAGGTCGAGGCAACCAGCTCGAGTCAACAAAGCAAACACTCGAAGAGCAAAGGGCAATTCTCGGCGTCTACTTTGTCGCATCTAGGTATATCCATTAGCCAATCCGAATCAAGGGCATAAGACTGAATCTTCTCTAGCAACCCCGCAGCCCTGCGAAAGTACTCGCAAATACAATATAGGCCACAAATCGCGCGATGTTTCAAAGACATCCGGGAGGCCTCTGAACTGCCCTCTGATGCGCAACTGCTTGCGCTCATCCGGCTGCAAAATATCGGAGACCGCATTCGTTCGGTGTATCCAAATACAGACAAAGACGAGGGAATACCTGTGCCAATCTTCCGAGAACATTTTGCTGTGGTCTTGATGTCGATTCGTAAGGAGATTCTTGCCTTGGAGTCGGAGGAACCTATCATAAACAGGAACCAACGTGGGTGCCGTATCTTTTCGTTGTTCGAAGCGGAATGACTAATTCCCATGTGCAACAGCAATGTTATGGGCTCATTACCAGACATTGATGGTCAAACTATATGAGCCCTGTATAGGCATGCGTGCAGCGAGGCCCTCCGAGGCAACGTCTCTCACAGAGCCATACAGCAGGACCGAAGCGCTCTGGTGTTGCTTACAAGCAGTTCAAAATGCCGGGAAGGCTTTGCTAGAGATATCGGTAGAAAATTTTGCATATCTACCATTCAGCTCGGTCACAGACTTGGCATTCACAATGTCGACATCGCATCGACTACTGTTGGAGGGTGCGGCCAGCGACTGGGACGTGGGACTGGCACGGCAGAAACTGGACCTGCCAGAGCTAACTCGCCGGCTGGGAGACAAGCTCGAAGAGGCGGACAACGTAGCTCTCGTCGCCGGCCAAAAGCGGCGGTTGTTCGAGGACAATAGCTCGAGATGGTCTAACTATGCTTCCCGGGCCAGATGGATACGGCAGTTGTACCTTTCTAGAATGGCGCCTGCGGAAGAGCAAGCACCCAATCTGGCGCAACTGGACTCTGGCCCGATATTGAATGAACCGAACATGACGTGGTCAGCTGGAGTATCTATGGATCAAGGATTTTGGGACGCGATGATGTTAGACGGACCTGGACAAATACCGTTTGACGCGTCAGTGCCTTTAACGGATCCGTCTGGGTTTCCACCAGTACAATCTGCATAGTAGAATTCATTCTCTTTTGGAAAGAGATCTTACACAAGGTCCGACGTGCTAAGTCACAGAGATACAATAGCGCTTTGCTGTTGCTCCTGCCTTTGAAGTCGCAGAGCCTCCAAGGCGTGCTCCTGTGTTTGTCCATAACAAGTTGGTTACTTGCTTTTGATCATTAGAGTTTCTGTGACTAATCCATACAGTCTCGCGTACACTTTACTTCGAGTGACATTCTGCTCACATTGGCATCACTAGATATGACGAGGAATGGTCAATAAGCCACAACCTCGCCGAGAGCGGGTCACCTGCCTATATGTTGAGTTCATTGGGTTCTGCGGCGACATTGTATTCTTGAGTGTTCCGCACTGTGTAAAAGCCATACATGATGAAAGCAAGGAATGCAAGACATTGAAAAGCAGTCTACACGCCAAGGCCTATATGCAAAAGGAATCCCGCTGATGTTTGAACAGGATCAAGCTTATACGGTGGTGCCGACGCTGGCCAGCTGGATATGGCCACTCCTACTTCCGCCAATATTGAGGGAAGATGTGCTGTGGGGTCATTGGTTCCGTTCATAGTTATTTAATGAGTAATTTAGATGGGACAGATTATTGGGGCGTTAGATTCGACAAGGAAACCCGCAACTTCCAGCTCCCTTGCAGTAACTTGTCTGTGAGCATGCATAGCTTCATAATCTTTTGAAAGGCAAGACGATATAAACAGGCTCATGATCTGACACCTTGACACCTGACGAACAAATCAAGCCGGCGTCACGACGGCGCACTTATCAACATTGGCTTTTTAGAGGTTCTCGGACACTTTGTGCTCGTTGTGGATAACACCGCCCCTGCCATGATCTTTGGGGCTGTCAAGAGTAAGGCTAGTTCGACAATCAAAAGGCGAATGAACTATGGTCAAGTGAGGCTAGTCTGAACAGGCAGGCACGCGACACTTCCTCCGGCATTTCTATTCCGTCGATTCCGCGCCTGCAGCCGCCACTGCCTTGCTATATCTTGAAGCACAATGCGACCAAGATTTCGAAAGACAGCTGGCACGAGCTATCTAACCTTCAAATCAATTATTGATCAGCCAGGCATCGGAATGTGATTTCTGATTTCCGAGTCTGGTCTTTGTGTCCAGCCCGTTTGTTTTCCTGACACGTCACCCACGGGTAGGGTGGGGAAATGCTACCTCCTGTGCGTGCAGTACTTCTGATCAGGGTATGCCGAGTCCTTTGAATTTCAAGCTGCATGCAGGGGTTGCGTCCTACCTGAATTGAGGCGTTGTGATTTGGTCGTGATAGCAAGGATGGCATAAGCACTCAATGTTGCCACTACCCCTAGCTTGTTAACGCAAGCCTGTATACGAATCACAAACTGCTGTCCTTTTGGTATTAGTTGTTTTAAGGTCCGTTCATTGCCCTCCAATTTTGGTCCCTACCACAGCCCGATTTGAACAAATTATGGTTTATTGTCGTCAACACGTGGTTACAGAGGATCCGGGATAAGCGGCCAGTATGTGGGTCAAAGACCGGAACACTATCTTTTCAGGCTTTATCAAAATAGCGAGATGTTTCTCTTGGCCAATTTGTGGCAACCTCTCCGCCCCTGGATCATAGAACCGTAGTAGAGGGCTCGTCTTACGGAGCATGTTTAACGAGACCTAGGGTAGTCGGCCTTGAGCTCGGCGCGACACACCGATAAGTTCATGCGTGCGGACTCCTATATGGATTCAGCAATCTCTTCCTCAAACAGTGGTTAGCATCTTGAACACGAGTGGGAGGGATGCCAGCCTCTTCGTGCAGATCTCGGCACTCCACCTTTCGCGTATCAACCGGCGGGGCCGGTCAACCAAGACCTGGCCTGTTTTGATTGGTTGGGCTTTTGCCCTCAGTCACTCAAGCTGCACAGGAGGGAGCATGGAGGGCAATTTGTTATTGGCCATCACATCGTATCATGCACTGTCTGAACATCGTGGGTCAACAATACATTGTCTCGAATAACGATATCTGGAAGGAGGTGGCCGTCATCGGCAAGATAATGGCGGAACTTGACTACGGTTCAAGACTTTACCTACGTTATGTTGACTTCTTGTAGTGAAGTTGCAACAAGATCTGAAGAGGATGCGCCCCGGAATCTTTTTACTTTTACTCCTGCAACTGGTTTGGGTTACCAGCACTCCCGCCACAACTTAAAGGCCCCAGGCCCCCCCACTTCGGAACCCCCTCATCCCCCGACTCGGCAACAAAGTTCCAAGGCTGGGTGGATACCTGGAGAATCCGGGGTAGCGTCGATGCAACATCAAGTGGTCCAGCCCTCCATCACCTTGGTAAAAACTGATCAAAGGATTGATAAAGACGAGGGAGAAGCACCAGTGGTAATCAGACCACTGCTTTTTCCACATCTCCCTTCTACCGGTTTCATCCTGGCAACTTCGCTGTCTTCACTCGCCATTTCCATCTCGTTGAGCAGACCAACCCCCCTCGCGATGTCAGGTTGGAGGTATGCATTTGCTCTGAGCAAACAAGAGGTCGCGGCCGCTACACCACCGGGAACAGCGAGATTGTTGGGTAAGTCATTTGGCACACTGGTTTTTGCACCCAACTATTTGCGTGTAGCTATCACATGGCTTGTTCTTCCCCCCTCAGATGGGGCCTACCAGCTGACGAAACATTGCTTTATGGTCGAAGACAATTCCGCCCGCGTATCAACGTCTCAAAAATCTTTTACTCGATTTCCACCGCCATCTGAGGACCCAGCGGACCCTCTGAACTGGGCACAATGGCGAAAACTCGCGTTGCTCCTGGTTGTCTCATTTTATTCATTTTGTGGCAACTTTACATCTGCGAGCATTGCACCAGCACTCCAATTATGGTTTAAAACGTTTCCCAGCGAAGTGCGGCCGTATGGTGACCTGACGCACTTCGTCGCTGTTCGTTTTCCCTGCGCTCTTTCGCGCCCGAGGCCCAGGTGGCTAACGTTCGGCTTTTCTCCAGGTCAACCTCTTGTTCCTTGGGACGTCCAACATCTTGTGGGTCCCCTGCTCAAACATCTATGGTCGGAGGCCAGTGTTGTTGGCCGCGACGCTGCTGATGACAGTCGCCACCATATGGTGCGCTGTCTCAACCACCTATAACTCGGTACTGGCGGCAAGATTGTTCCAAGGCATAGGAGCTGGCGCTTCCGAGACCGTAGCCCCAGCCCTGCTTGGCGAGGTCTTCTTCGTAGATGAACGTGGTCGTGCAATGGTGAGTAAAATTGGACTCCTACAGAGTCCAGGTTTCAGAGGTTTAACTTGCGATAAAAGGCTGTTTATACAACGTTCCTGGCTGCAGGCTCGCTTGTTGGCGGCGTTGCTGGCGGTTATATCGGCTTTTCAAAAGGTTGGGCGGACATTTTCTGGGTAGGAGTCGCTATTTCCGCTTTCTGCTTTGCCTGCACTATTCTATTTGTGCCAGAGACACTATACGATCGAGTAATCTTGCCCGTGGAAACGGCGACTGGCTCTAGTAGCGGTGAGAAGGGGAGCGAAATTCGCGTTGAGGATTCTAGGAGCCAAATGCTGGACTATCGCCCATACACTTACGGAAGGTCGCTTGGGTTCTCACATTACCGCGGCAATGTGGTCAGCAACTTTGCGGCACCATGGAAGACGCTTCAGCTCCCTGGCACTTGGGTTGTGATGCTCCATTATGCCGGCCTTGTCGGTGGCATCGTGACAATCTCCGTCATCGGTCCTCAGCTGGTTGCCTTACCGCCGTATGTCTGGGGAAACAATGTTGGGCTGATAAACATTGGAGGATTGGTTGGCACACTCTTGGGCGCGGCATACACTTACATCCTCTCAGACGCCCTGCTCAAGAAGAAAGTTAAGACTTCTGGCAGTGGTCTCGCGGAGGCAGAGAGCAGACTCCCAATCATGTTTCTATCTCTTGTCGTCGCGACCGGCGGTTTCTTCGTTTTTGGATTTTCTGCCCAATACCCCTCTAAGAATGGCTGGGTTGGCCTATGTGCGGGCTATGCAATGGTCGCTTTTGGGCTAATGCAGCTCCCCTCCGCCGGTTTCAACTATGTAAGTCCATCGAGGTCGTTTCCAGCTTAAAACAGATGCTGACTAGTGTTCTCAATAGCTTATTGATGCCTACAAACAACGAGCTGGCGATTGTTTCGTCATTGTTACCATTATGCGAGCCATCATAGCCTTTGCCTGGACATTTTTTGTTGCCAACTGGGTCGCGGAGAAGGGACCGGCGGAGCCGTTTGGCATATTCGGAATGCTTATGGGCCTCTTCTCTCTATTAACCATCCCTCTGTGGATGTTTGGCAAGAGGATGAGAATTGCAACAAGTAAGCTTGTGGAAGCTTGATCAGAGCAACCAATATGTATCGTGGTTCACAAAGCCTATGAGTGTTGCATCTGACAACACTCTCATGAATTCACCCAGTCTGCCTTCATTCCCGAGACTTTATAATGCAGTCATTGTCAGATACAGCCATTCTATGTACCACGTGATACATCTGATTGCATAGAGAGGTAGACATTTCTACCACTTCACGACTTTGTCAGTTCATCGTACATGCTGGTGGCTATGGAATCAAGCGGTGCATCAATGACATTCTATGCTTAGCTTATTAATCAAGCGAAAGAATCAGTAGTTATTATGACGCAAGAAAAAATATGTTCTAATGGTGAAAAAAATAGCTCTGCCTTAAGAGACGCATCAGATTGTGTGCACCGCGGCATCCCCTGCCCCCAAGATTCATGGTCAATTTGTCTGCTTCAGCGGTTTGGTATCGATCATGTGTCAGTTCCTCTCTGCACAACTTATAATGGTGATGAGATAATAGAAAGGCCAAGAATCACTAGCTGTTAGCCGTGCTTTGATTTGGTATATTCTTTTGTGGCTTTGGCGTACGTGGACTATTGAGTATAGGTAAATCGTACATTTACGGCGCATAAATGGGTCAACTGCCACAGCACTGCTTATTATTCAACGTAACTTCACGGCCTCATATTCAACATCCGCGAACGTCAAGGACGACGATCTTACAAGAACCCCTTCAGTAAAATAAGTATACCAAGCCAAGAGCAACTATGGGCACGTTCGTGAGTAAGTGCGCCTTGACCTTCGCAATCCCAACTTCAACAGCCTCCGTAGAGGCGTCTGGACTCCTCAGATATTCTGTTACGACAGCGGCCCCGCTGAACCCAACCCCCGCACCCAGCGTCAGTACGATCCCTACGCACCGCCTCACCGCCACAGCAGCCACCGGTGACGCGCGGCAGACGTCCGAAAACTGGCCGTAGAGTATCAGGGCCAGAATGCACGAGGACATGTGCAGGTTGCGGGCCCCCTTGACCTTGATGAGCGCGTGGTGGAAGGCGTCGAACTGGCTTGGTGTCAGGGAGTCGCGTCGCGGCGGGACCAGGCCGAAGGTCGCGGCCCCATTTTCCGGCTTGGCGAGATTAAAGACCCCGTCTGCGGCGCCAAAGAGGGCGAGGAGGCTGGTGAAGACTGGCAGGGCCGCGGGCCTCCAGAAGGCTGGTGAAGGGTTGAGAGTGGCCATGGGCGGAGGGCTCCGCAGAGGCGTGATTCTGATTTTATCGCCAACGTCAAGTGTGCTACCAAAGCTGGATTAAGATAAGGTAACAGACGGTCAGACAATGCTAATGCCTTGATGTCGAATCCCCGGACGTATTTTGGTAGTGGATTTCTTTATGTGTCAAAAAAGGATTATTCGTTGGGATCCTGGCAGCTTTTCTAGGCAGCGGCTGACATATGTATCACGTGGCAGTCAGACGTCTTCTGCCTTAACCTATTTCGTCGCCATAATTTAGAAGCATCCGCCTCTAAGCTACCCTAAACTAGCAGAACTCTAGTCTAACACAAAAATCGTTGATAATATTCTTCACTCTTGGGGCTAGAAACGATTTAAACCCCCAGCATGTGGTCTTTTCAAGACAAGAGCCAGGCATTCTTGTTATCCGGTATACTTGCTAGTAGTTCTATTCGAGTGAACATGCACATAGGAGTGTGGAACAATTAACCTTCTGACCGAGGTTCTCATCGCGTACTGCAGTGGCAGGCCTCTCACTGGGACGAAGTTGCCACCCTGGATTCAATCATGGTACCACGTGCATTTGAAACCAAAAGAAGCTAGAATTATGACAGGAGAATCAATGATGAGTTCGCAATTAATCATTCCATGATCCCAAATATCTAACACATGTAGTGCTGTACTTCCACCCCAACAATCTGGCTGAGCCGCTACTATTCTGATATCATTTAGCATCGGACGGAGCTGAAACGATCATTCCACTCGGCGGGAACCGTGTTCTGCTGTCCCCTGGTGGTCCAGGAACCACCCCCACAGCTTCCGTGCCTAATTGTTGCACACATTGGATTAGCGATGGCCATACGAACACGTCCACGGAAGGAATAGAGATTTGATCCCATTCGATACAACAAACAAATAAGAGCGGGCAGTAACTCACTCGAAGAAGACACACTCAGTGTTACCGGTGTTAACCGAGCTGACTTGGTCGTTCATCACCCCGGGGAAGTTGGCTAGATACTGTCAGAGCCCCGAGGAAAGCTGAAGAAACGGATTTACAGCTTACTGCACCCAACAACATCCATCGACTGACAGTTTCCTTGACTCTGGTCCCTGCAGATCTGGATAGTGACAGCATTGGCGAGGCCCAAAAGGGCGACGGTCATGACTGCAAAGGACTTCATGTTTGCGAGGGTTGGTGGTAGCTTAATGGATTTTGTTGGTGTAGAAATCTTGAATGAATGAATGATGAGGAGTTGTGTCTGTGTTGAGAGAAATTTGACGGAACAAAACCAGCCTTTTATACTTTGTCTACGCCGCCAGGTCGTCAGATACTGCGAATACAGGATGAATCTTGGTATTGATTAGTCCCACTATAGATGTAGTAGTACGCAGTTGAGCAGCGAATCGCGAATCGCGGCTTGGACGGTAACACTATGGATCAGCATGCGCTAGTGCTTACACAAACATACTCATGACAGGATTTGGTTGTGGACCTGAATGAGGTAGTATTACTCTTTGTCAGCGTGGTCGTATAGCTGGCTAGGCAGGTGCACAATCACTCAACTGAACTACTATGTACACTGGCGAATTCGTCTTCCACTCGTATTTGAGATGTCCTATTGGGTGTTTCTCCCAGCACCCCAGGTCAGTTTCTACCAACACTACAGGCTTTATTTGACAACCGCTTTGCCCCTTACTGTTAGTCTAGAGAGGAGCGGAAGGCAGACTTACCTACCCAATATATATGCTACACATCATAGTAGCTGCAATTCTGATCCTTCTATTGATGATAATACTGGTGGAAAATTGCTGTCTGTCACGGTTTCTTATGCAGCAGTCTTCCCAGGCTGTATCGCCGCTGACATCTATTCTGCCTCGTGAGTTGTTACTGCTGCTGAGGTACGTGTCTAATGCGGTCACTATTGCAGAGGAGCCTGTCAAAAGGCCTTGTAGCAAATGCCAAGACTAAAGTGGAGTATCCTAGCCTTAGTACCTAAGAATACACTCCTATCGGACTCTTACCAGATACGTCTGGAGCAAGGAGTGTTACAGCAGCATAATATTAATTCTTAGGGGCCTTTTTAGAAGGAGGTTGACAATTATGCGGTCTGATATGTATCGTGCTGTACTGATACTATTGGCTGGGAGATGGTACTTCTGGCGGTTTGGCATCCCCTGCATTTTTAGGAGCGCTCACTTCCTTAATCGCCTCTAGCTATACTCTGATCAGGATAACTATTCTGTCTCGATTAGAGTATGCTACGAAGCTGGCCGAGTGAAGCATCTTGTGTTGCCTTAGTAGGTGTTGGTGTTTCTACCTAGATCACTGCACCGCATGGGTCCCTCTTTACTGAAACATACTACGCTCAATGATTTGCCATGTACTTGTCCCCACGCTTCTCTTTGGTGTGGAATACCCCATCATGCCTATTCTCCTTCCGAAGCTGAGCCACAGTCAGGAAGAGATTGGTCTCTACAACAAGGGCGTGTCGGTTTTTGGTCTGTTTGTCTCCATCTTTACACTCTTCTCCTAAGGATCAGAAGCGACCCCAAGCCATATGGCCCGATAATGTGGGGTACATATGGTTTGGTGGTCTCCACTCCACTAGGATCAGCCCGCAATCTAACGTCTGCACGGTGTCAGCGCTAGTCATTACAGCCCCCGAAATCAATGGCCTCCAGTTCTCCTTGGCAGCAAAATGTCCCCATATTTAGGGCGATCCTGACCTGTAGTAGTATAAGGGTGTTCCGTTGGGGACAAGCAGTAGGTTCTGTCGGCCGCCAAACTACAGCCCAAAAAGGGTAATTGGTAAACTTGGCAGGGATCGACTTGAATAGCTGGGTACTCAGATGGTCTGCTAAGTGGTGCCTACAGCGAGCGGATGATGGGAACATTTTTAAGTCAAAGGTACTATTGATTTTTGCGACCACGTTACTTTGTTGAATCTCGGCGTGAAGCTACTGCAAGCCAGTAATACCTCTGCCTCTTTCCTGACGCGGCCGATGACGCCTTGCGTCAGCTCCAAGCGCCTGTCGACGCAGTTGTCCTACGGCAGCATAATGCATCTAGCATTATAAATTTATTGTTTTACTCACTTGATTGTGCATCGGTCTATTACCTAACAACCTTTCCTAGGAACTGCGCTCTTAGAAACTACTCAATACCAGTCTTTTATAAGGAAGGTGTTGTATGACCAGCATTTCAGCTGACTGGGTGTATTCCCAAGCCACGCCGCTTTACCGCGCGACCTCAATTGTGGAACCAGGAGCGAGTCAGTATTCAGAAGCACCTCAAGGCGGAACACTATATAAAAGAAACAAGTCACTTTCAATTTCATGAAATGGCCTGTAAGTAATACTGCTTCGTGATATAAGGATAAAGGAAGAAAGTTGTGCTCCAAAGGACGGAAGGGAGAACCTAGCTTATGTATTGTCGTAGAGGCAGTAATTATATTTCTATAATCGCCGAAAAACACCAAACAGGAAACGTCGTGCCATGTCTAAAGAAAAGGACGGCTCAAGCGATCGGGTGTCAGTGGCTCAACGCGCCTTCCGTGGTCTTGGAGCCCTGACGGCGGCCATGAAGGGAAGAAGAGACCCGCTTCCTCTGGCTATGACTCCTGATGCCGACAGTGTCAGGGCCGTCGAAACGGGCTTGGTCGCGAAGGCGGGGCTGATAAAAATGGGATTTGTGGTAAAAACCACGTGTACGAGAGGAGAGATTGGAGACTGGAAGAAGAGCGTCCGAGATGTCGGACGGCAGCGATCTGATCCAAAATCCCAAGAACGACGAACGCAGTTCCAGCAGCGCTGAGTTAGTAGTCTAAGTACGCGTAGACTAGAAAGAAGAGCGTTCATGGCCACACATCCGCTAAGCCGACCGTCGCCGGCTCCAGCTTCTGGCCCGACTATCCGTCGAATAAGCGAGCAATGAATAGCGACGCCCGGCGATCTGTGCGATAACGCCGGGGTGTCGGCGGGTGTATTCGGCGTCTGCCAAGCCCCCACGCAGCACACCTCCTAGGCCCTCTGCCGTGGCTACGGTAAAGCTCTGTGAACTCGACGGCAGCCAGCCAACAGCCAAGTGTCGATGCAAATCCATTAGCAGCCGAGCGACGGTCAATCGGGCGGAAACCATGGACGGGAACTACTGCGGCCCTCACATGATGTACCTGGTCCGAGTTCTTTCAAATGGCGAGAATTAAAGCTACACGCGCAAGGATAAGCAAGCTAAGAGGCACGGACGTCCTCCACTATGACCGCAAGTTCGAGGTGAAGATCTTAGACAGCCTTGCACTGGCAGACCACCTGTTCCAGAAGCGCCGAGACCTTTGTCCTGCACGCGATGCCGTAGCCGAAGGGCCTCAGCCAGGACGGCGTTCCAGGGCATAGTGCGGCGTCTTTCTGACGGATAGACAATCCATGCTGGGATGCAGAGCGCTGCATTGGAGGCTTCGAGATAGAATGCCACTGGACGGGATGGGACCCTGCGAGTGGGAGGAGGGCATGCAACATATGACGACAGAGATTGGCTGGAAGTAGCTTTCTTCATCTGATGCTCCCCCTATCGCGAGTCTCAGCTGCTATGATTCGGCACGATGATGACAGAAAACAAACTGGAAGCACAGACATTCCGGAAATTTCCTGCCTTGAAGTACTCGAGACTACCGTACTCGGATCACACATGCAGAGTAGTGTTGGTTCAGACCGAAGCAGTCCCGAATCCAGGCCACAGGGGTAACAGTGGGTGACAGCATCTCACACCACGGCGGTCGCTACCGTAGCGGGCCGGCCAGGGAAGGCCACGAACGTGCGACGGGAAGCAGGGGTGGGTGGGTTGCAGGTGGGAGATTGGTGGTGAAGCTTCGCTCCAAACTCGGAGAAGAAAAAAATTGAATTGGGGCTCCCATCGTCAGTTTGCTCGGCCCGGCAGGGGTGGGTTCTGTCGTAAGATGATAGAGATGGGGTGATGGTGATGCTATCAGTAGTAGGTAATCGGACAAAACCGGCGGGGCCACGGGTCGATGTCGGGGGCGCAGTGCCAGGAAGACAGACGCTCGGATAGTCTTGCGAACCCGAACGCGCAAACAGTTTGGCTGCCACGTGGGTGAATGTCTGAATGTCGAAGACGCCGTGAAAAGGCTAATTAATAACTCT